CCTTGTAGCTTGATTTATCAAACTCCCATTAACTAAAGGTCAGTGGTGTCCCTGTGTGTTGGTGTGATAAAATTCTCTCTGCTGAAGCTAGCAACAGAGCGCTTTGGCTGGCATAAGTAATAATTCCCATCAAACTGCGTAGTTTCAGACAAATAACAAAGTTATTGAACTGAGGAAAACACAACATCCAAGCCCCTTGGTTGTCCACCACCTTTAGCTGAAGCAGAATTGCACAGATTTCCATAATCACACACACAGAATCACAGAATGGCTCGGTTGGAAAAGCCCTCTGAGATCATCACGTCCAACCGTTCCTGTCTACCCCCTAAACCATATCCTTAAGTACCTCGTCTACCCGCTCCTTAAACACATCCAGGGATGGTGACTCCACCACCTCCCTGGGCAGCCTGGTCCAGCTTCTGACGACCCTCTCAGGAAAGAACTTCCTCCTTATCTCTAACCTGAACCTCCCTTGGCACAGCTTGGTGCCGTTTCCCCTTGTTCTATCCCCCATCACCTGGGAGAAGAGACCAGCACCCACCTCTCTACAAGCTCCCTTGAGGCAGTTGGAGGTGGTGATGAGGTCTCCCCTCAGCCTTCTCTTCTCCAGGCTAAACAAGCCCAGTTCCCTCAGCCGCTCCTCATCAGGCTTGTTCTCCAGAGCCCTCCCCATCCTTGTGGCTCTTCTCTGAACACCCTCCAGAAGCGGAGCGCTCATTTTCGAACCCAAATTCACATTTTAGGGCCTAAACTCTCATTTTTTCAGCCCAAACTCTCTTTTTTAGGCACCTAACTCTCACTTTCAGAGCCAAAACTCTCATTTTCAGGCCCTAAAATCTCAATATAGTTAGCAAGCTCCCAAAAATCACACCCGATCAACACAATGGTCAACACAAAATACCAGTTTAACTGAAAAAAGGAAACCTCCCTCTTGTTTCTTTCCAGGCAAAATTAAAAGAAGTGAGAGGCCAATCCAGCAAATAACCCACTGGAAGGATTTCTCTTTCCTTCAACCTTCACATTAGTAATTTGTGAATGCCCCATGGGCTTCCTTTTTATGACCTCCAATTAATGATGTTTCCCTTCAGCAAATAATTCCTGAGCAACCAAATCTGAAGATTATAAATGGGCCCCAGAGCTTTACACATCTGATCTAGAAAAGGAATCCAGCACGTGTTAAACTCTAAGCACTTATGTTCCCTTTCCAAAGCAAGAGTATTGCTTTCCCACTTGCGGATGCAGATGTGCCTAACTGCGCCACCTGACAAATACCTGGAACTGTTCCCTAAGTCCCTTGTCATTTACAGGACTTGGATGAGTTACAGAACTAATCAAACACATGCAGACTGAGACCAGGCCATGGAAACACATACTGTATTCGATCAGCCACGGAAATTATCCAAGCAGGAAAGGAATTCCATGTGACTTAAGAAATCAATAAGCAGATTACACACCTCCAACAGCACTTGTTTACTCACTGAAAGCTCAGCTCCTACTCAGGACTAAGATGGGCCATGCTGGCTCACACCAAAGGCCCTTCCAGACCCATATTCTTTGCTAAACATCACCATGTGCCAGAGGGTAAGCAGGGAGAATCCCACTGTGGAGGAGTTTGAGAGCATGCAGCAAACTTGCCTGAACTCCAGGGAGCTTGGAGCAGGAAGACCAAGTCTCCCCCCTGTCCTGGCAGGATGCAGCATCGCAGGGCACATGATTTACTTGAGTCCTCGCAAGTGAGGTAAAATACTGCAAAGAAAAGGAGGATCTCGCACCTGTATTTGTAGCAAGGACAACACTGGCATGGGTAAGGGCTGCAGCCATGGCAGTTTCTTCTCGTTCCTTTAGCTCCTTTTTCAGTGCCTTAATCTCACTGAGAAAATGGCTCCGCTCTCCCTTGTCTTGAGCCTTTTTGGTTTTTGCCTATAAAACAGAAAACATAAGAGATATGTTCTCAGATAACCAAAGAACCTGGATACAGCGTGGCTTCTTTATGTACACCGTGACACATTGACTCATAATCACCCCACGAAACCTTGGTTTCTCTTCCCTCTCCCTGCCAGAAAGCCCCTTCCACAGTTAGTGTTGCTTGAAGCATAAAGAGTATTTCTGTCCCTGCAAAAGATGAACTATAGCAGTACAACCCCAGGCTTGGAGCATGAAGCAGCAAAATGAGAATATCACTGCTCAGCAGACCATCCAGGGCCATCAGGAGTAACACTCAGGGTCCAGCCAGCCATCTCCCAGCTTAGTTGGTTCATGCTTAAACTCCTCTGGCTGCACATTTTGACAGTCTTGAATTGTGAGCATAAAGTGTTGAAGAGTACCTCCCTGCCCTTAAATACTCTGTTCAGCCCTTCTTGCTCTGCCCTGTACTTTCATGACGCCCCAAAGCTCAGCAGGGAGATGGTCAGACACTTCAGTCCATCCGATGGCCGAGTCTATGCACCAGTGAAAGCACCTGGGCACAAAGCAGGGAGAAAAAGGTAAGAAAGGTCTTGTGCCTTTGCTGGGTGAGGAACCAAGACTTCCTATCTCACTCTTCTCCACTGCTTGGGGGAAGCAGGGACCTCCTGCCTCCAAGCGACCTTGAAGCAGGAGGGCTTCCCAAGCTGACTGCACCATGTCCAGCCAAAGCAGCAGCTTTGCATTTTCAGAAAGGCATCTCTGAGTTGCTGTAAATGATTCAGAGCAATATCTAGACAGGCTCGTGGCTTTTTTTAGCAATGCCTATTAAACACATCTAACACATCAAACCATCACCACCAGCTGCTAATGCTTCCCTGGCTACAGACCAGCAGCTGTGAGGCAACAGCCAAGCTACCGTTCACTGCAAGTCACCTTGAGAAAACTACCCACACTCTGAGATGGAAACTTAGTTTATTTCCTTGGAGGTAAGGAAACCTTGGAGGTAAGGCTGATGACCTGAGAAAACTGAAAGAGCTGCAGACAGAAGCTTTTATAAGCAAACCAGTAAGACCCGATGGTTCCTATCATCATCTGTGTATGGATGGATCCTCCAGTGTTTAACACAGTTCAGCTCATCTTGCAGCCTTTCCCCTAGGAAAGACATTCATGTGTCTCAGTCCTCTACTCAGCCACCTGTTTTGGTTAAACTTGTAGGTATTTAATACCTGTGAGAACTCTACACATCTGTCAAGTGTAGTCAAAATTGGCTGACGGGCTCAGAAGTCACAGGGAGGGATCACACACAGATCTGCAGATAACTTGATCACACTGACATCTTTTTCCTTAGCTTGATCTGAAAGGACAGGGTGGATGCCAGTCCTGATATTCACTGAGCTGAAGGGACAAAGCAGATCAGCATCCACTTCCACTCTGCTAGAAACAGAGGAAGATTCGGGAGCAAAACTGATGGTGCCAGTAGGGCCAAGACTAATGACTGTTCTGCAAGATCAAGTTAGTAAATTAACAAGAGCAACTGTTCTCTGGTGTTGGCTGGTGATGTTAAGATCCAAACATCCCACTGACTCAGCTCTGAAAGCAGCTGAGGGAGCAGGGAGCCCAGTCTGGAGGTAACAGAGCACTGTCAGCCAGCCCCAGGGACATGGCTTGGCACAGTTCCTGTCTCCTACCACCACATACCCCTTGGTCCAGGTATGAAGCAGATGGAGACCTTAGTGCTGAGGCTTTCCTTTCTCCCTAATTTCCCTTCTACTATGGAAAATCAACAGCAAAAAAAAAAAACCTCCTCCCACCTTTCAAAGTGCATCCTAAGGAGAGGAAAGGGAAAATTAACCATTAGTGAGAAAGATGCAAAATAAATTAAATCAAAAAGACTTGGCGCAGAGCTGTGAATACAACCAGGACTCCCTCCCAGGAGGTACAAACACCCCCTTCAAAAACTTACCTCTCCGTTACAACTTTCCCCAGTCCTCAGATGCCCTCTCCTTCCCTTACATTATGTGCAAGAACAACTTGTCTGCCAAGTGACTTCCTGAGCTCCTCAGCAACAGAAACACCGGATGATGCATAACCATATTTGGGAAGACTAAAGCTGCTGCTATAGCGGTGGCTGCAGATTTATGTTTGTGGAGCTGAAAGCCATGTTTGGTCTGCATCATTTAAAGCCCCTTGCTGAAGGGCAGGGCAATATACTTAAGCAAGTATGACACATGGGTGCAGGTGTACAAAGATGCCCTCCTGCATGTCTGATCAAGATGGGATCTCTCTTGAGCTGGATGCATCTGCAAAATGGCTTCTGGACAACGCTGTCACCAGAAGTGGGAAGGCAAAAAACATCCAATTAATATAAAAACCTATCATCTCGAGTAACAAGAGCTTCTTTGTAAATTAAGTTTAGGAAAATTAGGTCAAAAGAAGAAATTAAGGATGCATTTTTATAGTGTATCTTGCTTTCTACTTGAGGTGGCTGAGAGTGGGAGGGAGCGTCAGGACAGCCAGACGTCTCATTAGGAAGTGAATTAATGATGTGAATGTTTCTCTCGCTCTCTGGTGAAGAGGACTGCACAAACAAAGCCAGATAATCTGGAGAGCTGGGCATCGCAGCATCTCCCCATGCAGCAGTAATGACTATGCTTTTGCCACTTCAATGAGGAATTCAGCTACGAGGAGCTTTGCCCTCAGCTCCTGCAGCAGACAAAGACGAGCACTGGTGACCAAGGAGGCTGAGGCAGCCCCTGGGAGAGCAGCTCTGTGAGGAACCTTCTCAGGCTGGAAGCCTTCCCCATTTCTAAAACTGCCAGGCCTGCACCCCAGTCCCTTTCCTTTGATGCCAGGTTAAATGCCTCTCAGTCAGAGTAAATGAAATTAATCCAGGCCACACACATCTCCAACTGCCACTGTTAGTCCTCTGAAACTGCTCTATTTTTACCTTTCCTCTCCCCTGAAGCAGCCACAAAGAGAGGCTCATGCCCACCAGTATTTTACCCCTGCCTGTATACAGCAAGATCCAGAGTGGAAGCAATAATGTGGGCTGACATTCAGGTAACACACACAGGGCACGCTGCAGGGACACGTACAAAGGCCTGGTCGATGTCCTTCCTGATATCCGCCACTATCTGGGCATTGTCACCTCGGGCCAAGACTGCATCCAAGGAGTGCTGCTGGATGGGCTCCAGCAGGCGAGCGGGGTGCCCGAGCCGCAGGATGCGGGCTTTGTAGCCAGCCAGCCTTTCCACCAGATTATCCACAGCAACGTTGGAAGGGGCACAACACAGGACCTGCAAGGGGAGAAACCAAGTTACTGTTACTGCCAAGTGCAACGAAACACCAGAGCAACGGTGTCCGAGGAGGAAGACACACAGCAGAGAGACCAACACATATCTATTGGGAGTAAATCAGTGATAAACCACAGCCTCTAGATATCAAAGGCAATTCTCACCTTGGTTTGAAGCACTAGTGCAGGGTCTTCAATAAAGAGCAAACATGAGCTTGGAAGCTTCTATTTGCACCTAATTTCAGCTGACAGGGGAAACTCCCTGGTCCTTGCAAGCCAAGCCAGATTCTGCAGCGTAGCACAGCTGCTACTCGATCTGCTCCAGCTGCCATGAACCCCAATGAGTTGCAAATTAAACCAAGGTGATCACTGTCACTACAGTCCTGCTGATACTCACTTTCAGGCCTTGCTGTACGGCTTGCAAGATGATCTCTACCAGTGTCGTGGTCTTCCCTGTGCCAGGAGGTCCATGGACAATGGCAAGCTCCCTCTGTGTCAGTGAGAAGGTGACAGCCTCCCTCTGCGATGCATCCAGTGAGTTGTTGTAAAGCTTTAGAGGCTCTGGGGAGACAGCAGGAGATTCACTTGGACCTCAGCCCTAACTTGGGTGCTTGCTGAGATGCACAACGCTATGAATACAAATAAGAAGCTCTCAGTAGCTGGCCCAAATCGCTTTGATAATGAGAATAATCTTCCTGGGAAGGTACACTGTGTACCACCTGGGTGGCTAAAAGAGCCCAGACTGGTATAAGTAAGGTTTGTTATGCTCTCAGAACAAAGAGGCTGCTCATCCTGTGTCTTCCTCCATCTCTCTCCTAACCTGCTAGTTTGCAGAAGGAGCAGCCAGTTGTGAACACAGTTAGGATGTACTGGAACTTTTCAGCATTTAAAGAGGTATTTACTTGCTCTAACACCAAACACGTAGGATCTCCTGGGTGTGGAGGTTGCTCTGGGTTTATTTTAAAGGTGAGCCAGCGTATTTAGTAAACCCTCAATAAAAAGAGGGGAGGAAGTAGTAGATCTTGCAAACAAATCACTCCCATTCCAGTTAACCCCAACACAGCACTAGTGAAAAAGCAGCAGAAAAAACTACAGCATCTGCGAGCAGAAAAGAGCAGGCCTGTATTGTTCAACAATGACTGAAAAGGCAGGAAAAAAAATTACAAACTAGCAATATAAATGATGAAAACTAAAATTAGTTTGGGCTTTAATGATCAGAAAGGGAGAAGGGGAAAAAATATGCAAATTGCATTGCAGGAGAATTGGTTTCCCTGCAGAAGATCAAATTCTCACAAGCTGCTTTTTACCTTCCAGATTTATCTAATTTAAACCCGTATTTATTCTTATCCCACACAATCCTGCTGCTAATCTCCTTGTTCATTATGGAAGTTAATTACAGCAGAGATTATGACTCATTACACTGAGGTTTACTGAAAATAATGTTCCCACAAAAGCTTATATAAGCCCTATCTCTGGGCGCCGTTCCCTCCTGGGCATCATGTGTTTTATCTCTATCTTTGCATTAAGGGCTTGATTATAAGCAGTAAAAGTTTCTGTTTTTTGGCAGGTTAACTTGTCTGCAACTCCCGTGTAACCTCTGGCACTGACTTCTGAAGTGGCACAACTAAATGGAGTGTTTGGGTTAGACAAATAACACTTGTTAAAAAGATGCTCAGTGACAAAGAGAGAAACAGGACTAAGGGTATTTCTTCCTGTGAGCCTGCCCCTTGCTTTATATGTGATTTTTGAGTTAGTGTGCTAATGATTAAGAGAAGATTATGAAGCATCCCATGGGCTAGGGAAAAAGAATAGCTTTAAAAAACTGAAAGGCATTTCCCATAATGAGGAACAGCCGGGACGTAGGAGTCATTGATATTTCCTTGCTCGAGGAATGAGATCAGAAACAGGCTTCCACATGCACACACCCCCTCTTCCCCTTTAACCATGTACTGGCAAAAGCTGTTGTGTGGGCAGGCTGGGAAATGGGCCTCCTCCTGGGCTGGGCACTTAGTGGTGAGGAGGAGGGCTGAGCCTTTTAGGGGATGCTGCAGCTCCTCTGGACTCTTCTCTACCCGCCACTGGGGCTCTAAGCAGCCTCACCTAAAGAAACAGAGCTTCCCCACTCCTGCAGGGCTGGCCTAAGAGCTCTTTATAAGCAATCAGTTTAGAATGTGCACAGATGCTCCCCAGAGACACCCATTAACCCAGCTCTAGCCCTGTGGCACTGACTCTGCATTGCTGCCTCCTGCTCTGCCCACAGCTGTTCATCGCAGCCCCCTCAATGCAGGCCATGGAGAGGATGAATGGAAAGCTGCATCCTTAGGCCTGGCAGGGATGGGTCTTGCTGGTGGGCAGATAATTCAGCCCCTGATGCATAACTTGAGTTAGGATTGCAGCACTGGAAAAAAAAATCACCTCAGCCATCAAGGTTGGTCCTCCAACAATGCTTCCAGGATCCAATCCAGGAACCAAGACCCCTTTCTTGCACCGTACCAGGAGTTCAGGTGAAGAAGAGGGTTGAAGGGTGATCTTCACATCCAGGAAAGGAGTCTTTGCACCAGACATGGATGGGAAAGGTCCCTCCTGTGAGGAAGAGCTCAAGTTGTCCAGAGCTGGAGGCCTCTCACTTCTCAATGTCCTTTCCAAAGTATATTCCTCACCATCAGTGTGTATGGGCACCAAGAACAAACCAGACCTCATGACCAACTCCTCTACACTATCACCTAACTGCAGCCAAACACTGCTGCACAAAATCCAGAAGGATAATTAAGCCTGAAACAAGGAACTTTCCCTGCTCTCCCTATGAAGTATTTGCCAGCCGAGTTGTCTGGACTCATTAATTTTCCCCAGAGATCTCAAGGGCCTCTTCATGGCCTCTGTGGTGACAAGAGGTATCACACGGCAGAGGGACAAGGCACATCCAAGATTTTTACAAGTGACTTGTCACATGCACTGGACTTGTGCTGAGAATCCCTGATGCATCCTCAGTGCTCTGCCTGCTGGGCTGGCTTTTATTGGAGACACCTCTGTCCTTTAACAAGACTTGTCTTCTTCCTTCTCTGCCTTTTTACAGCAATAGGCATACTCAGCTATAAGCCATACCTTTTGCACTCCACATGAGGATGTGAGCCAGCCAGTGTCTGTGTACAGAGATGAACACCCCCTCACTTTTTCTGGACCAGGACTACAGGAGAGAGCTGGTAACTCTCATTGATCTGCACAGGATTATGCTTACAAGAAGGCATAACCTTATTTCTGAAAGCAAAGGGAACGTGTCCATCCAGCAAGCAGAGCAATGCTGGCCTCTGCTGGCAAGCAAACCCTCTCTATACATTCACAGCAATGTATGGGCACAAGGCTCCCTGTGTATATTCTGTGAGCAGGGAAGGGTTTCTTGTAGGAGACTTCTGGTGTGAAAGATTTAAATGCATCTGGGCCACGAGTGCAGGTTAAAGTACAGGAGAGCCAAGCAGAGCATTTCTTATGGATGGGGTTCTGGATTTCCTTCCCAGAGAGTCTGACAAGAGCAGAAATTCTGTTCAGTTCAGTTTGCCTTTTGGAAAGCTTATTCTCCCACCTGACACCTTTCTGGAGGCTGCAAGGTAAGGGTGGGAAATACTTTGTGGTGTGGACCAGCCCCATTCTTAGCTGCAGATCCCATCTACCCACTGGTGATACCTTCATCTGCTCCTTTCCACTAGTCCATAGGTTATTTCTCCCACAGCCTGTCTATTGTGTTTGTGTTACCCCAAAGGTATTTATTCTGAGTTGCGTTTTTGAGTGTTTTGAATGGACTTGGGCTTTGATGTGCAGTGCTATTGGTAACGCCTCAACCTGTGCACAACCCCAGCAGCTCAGGGGGAGAAATGAAAAGCACAGATTCAGAGCACAACTTCAGTGAATACAATCCTTCTGGCCAGGCTGGCTGTGTGAGGGGTGTGGGGTCATGAGAGCGCACTGACTTTTTTCATGATCTCCAGGGCATTTTAGCTATGCTGTTTGTGCAGGACAGACAGACTCCATCATACTGCCCGTCCAATGGGGAGCCGCCAGCTTTCTGAATCAAACCTGAAGCCCCTGGCCGTGCCTTAACAGTTCAGATTCCAAAATATTTATCAGACTTGGCCCTGCTACACCCTGAGCCCAAACGTGCTACTGGCTAGGCCCAGAGTGGCAACCCCAGCACCCTGCAGTACCAAGTAGGAGAACCCACTAGCTGGGAGATTTCCTCCTGCCTGTAAAGACCGTGAGGTGAGGAGGCTGGTACAAACTAACTTCAGACATCTGAGGGTCAAAAGCCTGGCATTTTTTTCCCCAATTACTGACAACCACCTTACGCAAGCCCACTTCCAAAAACCACGCTCCAGGACATTGTTCCAGTGGGAGTCACACCTGTACCCATTATTACCCGGGGGGGATTCATCCTCCAAATATTGAGCAGAGTTTTTCTGACATGATGGGAAACAGCTCTCTGCAAATTAGCACAGCAGCAGCTCTGTCAGTCATCAGGAGCTGAGTAAAAGGGCACTAAATTGTCTTTGTCATTACTACCCTTCTGTGCATACAGATGGTTTTTTTGTAAGCCAAAATTATGCGCTGGTCAGACACCAGCAGCCACCAACTACTTCAAACCTGTGTTTCTATTGGCTTTATCGGACTCCTTGCCAACCTAATCGGTCAGCAACTAGATTTAGGCACCCTCCTGGGAAGACACAGGCTTTAATATAGACCCTCCAGGCACCGCATTTGGCAGCCTGCTCTCCCAAGATAACCCAGGCAGCCGCAATCCAGTCATGAGAAGATCTCAGTGCAGCACAGCAAAAAATAAGCAACTAAAAGCTCTTTACCAGATAGGCCATGAGCTTAATGTAACTGTATTTGGGTATGCCTTAAAAAGACCCCATACAACCAACATTTTGGGAAAAAAAAAAACCCCAAACCAGATGCTTTTCCCTTTTTCCTCCAGGTTGCAAGGCTCCATGTTGGGAAGAAGCCACCAACAGAAAGCACCAGCAGAGCAGAGGATGGCATTGAGACACCACTGGCTTTGCTGCTGCAAAGAACCACCTCACCTCGCATCTCTCAGTGGTCCTGGTGAGCGTTCTGTATTTCAGCTGTGCTGTGTGCTGCAGCCTGGGTACCTACTGCCTGCTTTTGTGAGGACAGGAAGCTCACACAGACTTGCTGTGTATCTGTTGCCCTTTCCGTTCACAGCTCCATCACGCTTGAACCTGCTGACCAGTTTCTAACCAATCTGATATCAAGTCCCTACACGCTTCATGAAAATGCACAGTGGTATCAGAACCCATCTAAAACCTATGAGACTCTCACGCTTGAAAACTGAGCCTTCTAATTTTTTTCCCAAAGTTAAAAAAAAAATAGATTTAGGATTCTGCTGCTGCACTTATCACTCGCTGGAGCCTATTTTGCCCTTGAGAGAACACCCTTGAACATCCAGGCATAGAGCTGGGTGCTTATGATTTCCACTGACTACTTCTACTTCCACTTTCTACTTCTTGAGCTCCTTGTAATTTGGTTCTTCCCCACCGTTTGTACAGAAGACAGTGACAAATGCTCCCCTCTAGGTATGGCTCTCATCTACTCTGGGCCTTCCTCTTTTTCTCCTGCACAAGTGTCAGTGCTAGCTTTTTCTCTGGGCAGGTGTTTACATGGTCCCACTCCTAGCCCTGGCTTTCTGGGCTTCTGATTGAAGTGGAGCTCATATTGCAGCTTGGAATGGTGTTAATATAGATGTCTGTCTAGACAGCCAGTTTTATGAGAGGTACAGAGCTTATTAACGCTGAGACTCCTGATGGGTTGGTTTGAAATCAGATAATGGATGGGATGAGACACATTCAGGGAAGCATCTCCCTAAGAAACCAGGCTAAAAGATGCTCAGTCATGAAAGGAGATACTGTGTCATGGAGGAGAAGCAGCCTGAAATGCTGTAAGGTTTTTCTAGCATGTACCTGGGAAACACTTGCTGTCTTTTGCAGGCAGTCCACACATCTGAGAGTCTCTATACTATTTGAAGGGCCACATCTCTGTGTCCTAAGGCGTTTGGGACACCTGGGGAACTGCATGTGCCATCATACAAGCATGAGAGTTGGGATTTAGCCAGGCAGCTGCCGACTGCCCTCCCCTTCAAGTCAGTGGAGGCTGGCAGTTCAAGGTACCCTGCAGGACCTACTTAGAGTTAAAGTCATTATTATTTAATTCCTGGCTAGTATAACAACTTTCTAGTTGGGGAGAAAGGAGCTATAAAGTGAGAAGGTAAACAGAATGCCCTGTCAGAGCATTTTGCCGTTCTCAGGTGATGTGCTGCCTTCTCATATTGCATCTCCTCTGTCTGTCTAACGTGGCTGAACTTTTCTATCAATCAATATTCTCAGTGCTGGAGAGATGTAAAATTCATCTCTCTGCCTGGTTTGGCACATCAGAGCAACTTGGTGAAAAGGAATTTTTCTTCATTAGAGAAGCAGTTCTGCCACCACAAGGGAAAAAGCAGAGTTGAAGGTGCTAAGAAAGTTGGTTCATTAAAATTTAATTCTTTTATCTAATATTAAAAAGCTGAGTACACCAAGGTCCCTAGGTAGCCGGAAGGCTAAGATGTTTGACTCAGACTAAGCTCAGCACTTAGAACTACAGAGATGTGACTCACTCACACTACCATTCATTCTTCATCCTTGGTATATCATATCAGAAACCTTGCCTGAAGGCACACTGCAGGGCTGTGTGCATGTGAAGGGGTAAACCGCTGCGGACAACCAAACACAGTAACCAAAGTAAGCGAAAAGCTACAACAGCACGCACAGAGTGCAAGGAGCTGTGGTGGGCAGGAAACCGAGCAGAATCCTGGGCAGCAAGAAAGCAGGCAGGGATGGATGGTGTCACCCAAGGCAGGCTGCTGAGTGCTGAGAGAACTTGGCTTCCAGACTGCCAGTCCCATCCTGCTGGGCAGCCGAATCCACACTCAGCCTTCATTCCCTGTTTTTTGCAGACCAGATGGTATTTCCCTTCTGTCAAGGGATAATATTCGTTAGCAGTTGCCGAGCACTTGGATATTCTGCTGATCAGAGGCTTTGGTTTCCCTATGGTTTCTCTGAAGGGGTAAGCTGTGTCATTTCATCTTCCACTTTTCCAAAGACTTAAATCAGAAAGGATCTGAGTAAAAGAGGATTCCACTTATATGCAATTTTTTGACAGCTGCTGGTAAAACCAGGTTGTCAAGTTTTAAGTATCTGATAAAACCAAAACAGCCTGCACATCTCCAACTTGACTGAACACTATCACAAGGCTGTAAAAATAAAAATACCAGTGTTCCCATGCTGTTTCAAACTGCAGTAGTTCCACAGTCACTTAATTCTCATGAAGGCAGAGTACTGGATTTTCAATATAGAAGCAGCACTGTCAGTTCCTGATACCTGAAGTTTATGGATGGGACCGGGGCAGAAAGCAAATAAGAAATGCCTCATAAACGAAATTGAATTTCAGACTCAAGAATGTGTGCAAATAAATACCCCCATCACTGATCCTGCCTGTGTTATGCCAGAATTCACCTTTACTTGGTACACTCGGAGGGAAGTGAGCATTACCTAGCTGAACAGTCTCTCTTCCAGCAATGACAAGGGTCTTCACATGAGTGAAGTGTGTCCAGTGACACATAAACCAGTACGAAAAGTAAGTGTTCAATGCTGCCAGTTGCAACACCACTTATTCCTTGCATTCAATACTTGGGTGTTTCCTGAAGGAAAGTAAGCTGCACGTTTGGTGTGAATAAAAGCTTCACAAAGATCAGAGTTATTTGTGTTTCCATGGGCAATTTCAAAGAATGAGTCTGGAACTGAGAGACCATAAGCACCCTTCTCAGCTGGCCAGCACCAGAGACAGGACTTGGAGGACTGGAAGAGGAGTAACAGCAGCACAGTGTGGGAAACACCTGCACAGGCATCACTTAGGGCTCCGGCTCTTTGCCTCTGTCAGATGCAACATCTGAAGAGATGAGCATCCTAACTGGGCAGGGACAGAGCACAGACCCCTTATCCTGTGGGTAGGGAACTTCAGGCTTCACTGATTGCTCTGGAGAGTGAAGATTCCTCTTCTTCCCTCACAATAACTTTCCTTATCTTTGCTTAAAACCTGGATGAGGGCAGCAAGATAATCTGCTCTCAGCAGTCCATCCAAATGAGCTCTTCACCTGTGTAATTCTCAGCTTCATGTGTTAAGGCACACTAAAACCAGCAGTGGTCTTGGTGCATGTAACTGGCTGTGGAGGTTTTGGGGGCTCTGATCCTAAAAGTGAGAAAATTTCTCTAGAAAGATCAATCTAGCACCTGCCACCAGTCTGGTATAAAGTTTTACAAAGAAGCATACTTACTTGTTTCGTTGAATGCGCTTGGATCAGAAGAAAAGAAGAGGACGTCAATCAGATCAGAGGCTGGACCACCGTGATACTGCTTTAGTGCATTTAAAGCTCTGCCAAAGAAGAAAACAGCCAGGTTACACACTGTCCTGGTTTGAGCTAAATAGAACTAATTTTCTATTTAGTGTTTTTACTTTTCAGCTCAGTCTCTTCTAAGTGGCTGAACTTGCTGAAAACTGGCAGGATGGGTTTTTTCCCAGTGTGTACTGATAGAGCTCAAGGACAAGTGCCTCACCATGGGTGCTGCATCTGTGCCTATGGTGGGGGGAACAGACCCAAAACTGACCAGCTAGGTAATCCATCCCACATACGTCATACTTGGTATAAAGCTGAGGGATCACGAGGGTCTCAACTCTTCTTCCATCTTGGAGCACTTCCATCTCAGACCCTTCCACTCGTCTCGATCCTGCAGTGGCTGAGGTCTGAGCAGAACCCTGCTAGTTTGTCTGCTTTTCTTTACTTTCTTTTTATTTTTAAAACCACTGCCCTCTCTGAGGCAGTCTGTCTGCCTCTGATCCTGATTCGTGTGTTCCTGCATCCTGCTCCCACTGCTGCTGAGTTCAGTCTGGGACTCTTCCAGTGCCCAGCTCTGCAGAGCCTCTGGTGACATATTTGTCATTGAGGGGAGGATTTTATCTTGGTTTTGTATCTATATTTGTACATATTTGTATATATTTCGTTATTTTCCTATTTACATTATTATCCTGTAGTATCAGTATTATTGTTTAAATTAAAACTGTTAGTTTTATTTTCCAACCTGTAAAGTCTCTCTCCATTATTCTCTTTTCTCTTCCCTTCTAGGGAGGGGAGAGGGGTTAATAGAGAGCGTCTGGCCAGGATTTAGTGGCCGGCCCAGCTCTAAACCACAACACACACACGCAGCATTAATTCCTGCAGAGATCCCTGCGCACCTTAGGGACCAGTGACAGAAGACTGTGGGCACAAATTCAACTCTTCCAAAGCGGAAAAGTGATACTCCACAACAGACTAATCCTATCTAACTGCTGCATTCTCCAGTTCTCTTACATACCCATCCCTTATGTTGGCCAGACTTCCACTTTCTACTGTAACTCCAGTTTGATACAGTCAGGCCCTGTGCCGAGCCTTTTCAGCACATTAATTCAGCAAAGAGCTACTCACTTCTCCTGTCAGAATGGAAAAGACTCTATGAAGAATCCAGTGACTACCAGAGGTGATACAATATGGGACCAAAATGTGTAGCTGAGGGTGAGATGAGGGGTGGGAGAGGAAGAGGGAAGAGCAGGACCACACCAGCCAGCAGGTAGATAAATTTAGGCTGTTGTGACGCTGTAGCATAACATATCCAAGTGAGTTATCTAAGTATGGGTTCCCTCAGTAAATAGCAGAAAAAGCAAGGCACACCCAAAAGGTGGACACCTCCCCTAAGCGGAGCTGTTATAGAAGTAAGAGAAATTAAACAGGAAAGGAGAGAACCCAAGCCTAGTGAAATAAACTGAGCTCTGTCTCAGAAGAGCTTTTCCAAAATAAACTTGGCAATTTTCAGTTGGTTTTTGCACTCCTGAACAGAGTGACCGTGGGTGACCTGCAGCCCCGTGGCTCTTACTTTTTCAGCCTGTTGTAGGTGACGTCGTTGGCTAATTTCAGCAGGCGGTAAGAGCTCTCCTGGTCCAAGCTCAGCATCCCATCTCGAGACTCCTCAAAGGCAACAGTCACTGCTTTGGAGGTGACACGTGTTACAACGCCGGTGGAGAGCGGATCGCCCTGGCCAGCTGCATGGTAAAGGCCCACAATGTCCCCTGCAAAGACAAGTTTGAAGAGAGAGCATGAAGTGGGGCGAACATCTCGAAAAGCAGCTCTTTTGGGGAGAGCAGCAATCAAGCATGATCCAATGCAGACAGTAGGACCACCTGCACCAACCACAGCTCTAGCACCATGTTTCCTCCCAGGGTCAGACTTTGTGTCAAGCCCACAATGAAGGAGAACATCTCCTTCACTGGAGACATTCAAAACCTGCCTGGACGCCTTCCTGTGTAACCTCATCTGGGTGTTCCTGCTCTGGCAGGGGGATTGGACTGGATGAGCTTTGGAGGGCCCTTCCAATCCCTGACGTTCTGGGATTCTGTGATTCTGTGATCCCTCTCTTAGCTGCCTAAGGAAGAGAGAAGAAAGGTCTCTAAAGGGGAAAGAAATAGAGGGCGTATAGCAGACTCACTTGTAGCTGCTTCACAGTGAGACCTATGTCCTTTGGAGGGGTAAGACTGCACAGCTGGTTACAGCACGGCAGACAGTGTCCTCGCCTTCCTCACAGACCAGCAACAGAGGCAACAGCTCAGCTTGGACACTCTTGGTTGTGCTTCCACAGAAGTGAGGGCAGAGGGTGGACACAAGTGAAATGAGCACTGGCTGCTGTGCTGGTGAGTTTGTATTTCTCTGGTACCTTTATTTCCAACAGAAATCCAGGTGTGTCAACTAATAACAGTACATAATTCATTTCTTCCTTTTCCTCAACAAAAATAACAGCACAGGGAAGTGTAGAGAGAACAAAGTTAATAGCAAAGTCCAAGTCACATACACCATGTAGCTGCATGCCTGGAAGCATGAAACTCAGCATTGGGTGAGGTGGCAACCATGACTAGATCAACATCTGGACCATCACTAAATCGGTATCTGGTGTTATCTGGATGCCTGGAGGAGTTGTAAACGGGGCAGAGGCCTCATGGTCCCAGTCCCCCATTTTTCTTTTCCACCCTAAAGAAAGGAGCCGTTACCTCCACCCATGCAGGTGTGAATTAATGGACTTTGTGACATTAACATAAGTGATAAGATTGTCTACAGTCATCCCCACCTGCATGTGCCCCGGTGATGTGATGTAAAAATTTAAGTATCACTCCAATTTCAGCCCAAGAATCAGGACAGGATCAACTCAGAATCACAACTGGACAGATTGACGAATTCACTCCCTCTCCACCCCTCCCTACTCAGGACACCTTGTGGGTAAGATTATTGACCTCAGCTAACGCTGAGTGATAGATTCCCTCCTCAGGTCCATATTCCCTGAGTGTATTCTATATATTTCCTCCTCAGGTACATACTCCCTGAGTGTATTTTACATTTCTCCTCAGGTGCATTTCTATGCTTCCCTTCTTGGTTTTGCTCCACTGTATTTCTGTTTGATGGGCTTGTTTGTTTGCCAGGCAGCCAGGCTTACAGCAGGCAAGTTGTTGCTGTTGTTGTTAATGTTGTGTGTACGTCAGGTTTATAGTGTGTTGTTGGTATTATATTAGTTATACAACCTTTAGTGTACCTGTAGCTTTTCAATTTATCATCAGCAATCCAAAAGAACCTGTCAATGTTGCTATAAATAAACCATTACTATCTGTTCCCCGACTTGCATCTGTCTCATATTCGGTGCTGGCCTCGTAAGATGGGATTTATTTCCCCATTTTTGCAACAGGAAGGGAGAAAATACGGCAACTTAGGAAGGAAAAGAAAAATCCACTTTCCATTCTGCAATTAAAGTGTAAGTGACAAAAGCTCCTTACCTACCACAAGACATAAACACGAACTCTTTGACTTATACAAAGAATGCCACAAAATCTTTAATTACAAGAGACTAGGGCTTTGTTTTTATGAATTCAGGAGGAAAGCCAGCTCTTTAATCACCAGTAACCATTTCCTGGGGCAACACACACGACTGTAACAAGCTGAGGGGAAAAGAGGCTTTTTTTCCTCTAGATTCGTCCTGGAGCCATAACATTTTCTCCCTTCCTTTTTTGCACCAATTGCTCAGACTCTACAAATATCTCATTAGAAATATGTTAAGAAGAAGACATCGGTCATCTCTTACTTTACCTACCTCACGCCAACAGCAACATCACTTACCAGGCCCGAAACTGTTATAGGGCAGCTCGGCATCTGAATCGTATTTTCGAGGCTGAAACGTCACAAGCAGCCGTCCATAGAGGCCGGTTCTCTGGTTGGCAGCTTGGAGTTTGAGCAAACAGACGCCTCTGCGCTGCAGCTCCTTCAGGGAGACGCTTTCCTGCCATGCCCTGGAAACCACATACAGGCATGAAAACCACCGAAGCTGAGACTGAAAGCTTCAGATGACAAAACAGAAAAAGACAGGGAGGAGATGGAGAAGAGGAGGAAGGACGATGGCAAAAGTGATGTCTGCTCACTGAAGTCTTGGCTGATGTGATTGCTTTGTAGTGATGTAACGAGACTGGCCTCACAGGCTTATTTTGGGAACCAGGGCGATGCTCACAGGGCCTGGAGAAGAGGCAAGGTCTGTTTCTGAGTATTTTCCTCTCTTCTGTCTGGGTGTGAAAAAGAAGGAGCTGCCCAGTTACCCATGGCCCAGGAGAGAAATAACCTGAGTTTTCTCCTGTCATTTACAAGTGCTAAAATGGAAGGTTTGCTATTTTTTTACATGAAGTTGGGCTAGCCTCCAACAAACATCCCACACGCAGCTGCACAGGGAGGAGAAGCAGGTGGCTGGCACAGACTGGCGGGCTACAAGTGCCTGTGGCACAAAGCACAAGCAGCAGCTCTGCAGGCTGCTGTCCTTCGGGGCCAAAGTGTGCTGCAGCAGCTGGCTTTCCTCCACAGCCTCACTCAGGAGGTGCAGGGGTGTCTTAATTTTTTTGTAGATTGAAACAAAAAAAGGAAAATCCCTCAGGTTTATTCTCCATAGTCCCCCAGTTTGGCTTGTTTCTGTAGGCTGCTCTGTAGGGAGCTGAAGTGTCAGGGAATGACGGGCAGCAGTGGGATGGCCCCGTCCTGCCCCCAGCACCCTCTGTCCTCGGGGCTGGGCAAGGCCAGGCCTTACTGGTGCTAGGAATGAGACTGTCTGTTCCCCTGGCATTGGCCCACGCAACCCAGAGCAGGCTGGTGATATCCCTGTCCATGAATCCATGCGAGTTGGGTGGGGTTTGATCTCAGCTCAGGCCCAGGGACAGGAGGGCAGAGCT